GAAGGCTTGCAAAGCCATCAGTGGAAGGAAACTCCATTCTATTATAACAGAATGATTCATTCTGTTATATACAGAACCTTTGCAGTGGTTCATTCTTCTACTGATAGATTGAGATCTAAAGAGGCAGAAAATGTTTTAAAATAAAATCTTATTGATACCAAATATCCTTTCTGATGTGTCTTAGAACAAAACCAGGAGTACAGTTGGTAAAGCAATTCCCTTGATCCAGTCTGTGCAGTTGAATGCTTTCTTCATTTCCTCCCTGGGTTGTTAAGTCTCAGGGAAACACTGACCTTGCTAATGACATTCGCTCTGTTCTGGGAACCATTTCCTCTGCTGGTGGGATCCTTCTGAAGGGGAAACTGGTTCCTGCAGGGAAATGAACTCCATCAACGAATAAATAACACCCTAAGATTATAGCATTTTAATTGTAGGATGCACATATCTTCCAAAGAGCTGTGTGACCTTGGGTAAGTCATTTCATTTTTTTTGAACTTCAGTTTCTTCATATGTAAAATGAAGACACAAATGACCTGACCTATTGCTTTCATAATTTGGTTAAAAAAGTTATGAAAATCTATCTAGTCACAGCATTCAGGACTTGTGATATACATGGAGGTCTTGCTGACATCTTCAGTTCAGCGTGTGAGCGGCGTCTGCATAGCCTGTTACATTGTAAAGGTGCTTAATATACATTGTCTATTATAAGTTCCTACATTATGGATTTGTTGTAGGTATAATTACTCCCTTTACAGAGGCTAGTAGTAATAACTAACATTTATTGTTTTCTATGTGCCAAACATTGTTTTAAAGCTATCTACATGCTTATGTTTATTTAATCTTCACATCAACCTTAGGGGTTATAGGCACTATTATTGCATAATACAGATGATGACATCGAGGCACACAGAGGTTAAGCATCTTGCCCAAGATTGTATAGTGAGTAAGTGGGAGAGCTGGGAATCCAATGCAGGTGATTTGACTCCAGAGTCCCCAGTTGCAAGATGCTGAATTATCTAATTAGGGTAAGTCAGCCAGTGAAGGACTCAGATCCTATCTCGGATTCCAAGCTTTTCCCTCTACCCATGCTACCTCGTGTTTACCTGATATCCAGAGCATTTATAAATAGTTTTAAAAATCGTTATGGAAACTATATGTACATATGGTACATAAACACATACTTATCTCTGTATATTTAGACAATGTCCTTCAAATATGTTTGTACTAGGAATCCAGCAGATGCTTCCCATTCAGATTAGAACAAGAAAAATGTGATAAAGGACCTCCAACTGGAGACTTTACCATCCTGACAGTCACCGTTTATGCTGAAATGTGCACTGTTTTCAGCAAGAAGTAGGATCCCTGTTTTCAAAGGTCAAATAAATCACCTTTAAAGTCGTGAAGAGGTAAACAGACTGATGCCTGGGCAGCTTTCCTGAGTTTATGAGGTCTTCTGGCCACAGGGATATACAAAAAGCTCCATCAATCACTCCCACCCCCCACTCCCGAAGCATTTATTCCTAGGGGGGATCGTGCTGCCATTCAGGGTAATTTCCCCTAAAACTATTATTAGAAAATATTAAATCAAACAAAAATAGAAACCCCCAGAGTAAATACTTTACAGAAAAGCATCTTCCCTCTAGCCAAATTTAAAAAATGTACTTGCGATTCAAGGAGGCTGAGCTGATGGTAGGAGTATTGGGGTGGGTGGGAAGAGGGCTCTGAGGGGACAATGTCAGGGAAAAGGAGTGGGGAGCTATCTGGAGAGCTAAGCTTGTGTGACGTGACATAAACAAAATTGTCGCCAATGAAAAATAATTGCATAGTCCCCCTGCAGTGCGTGTTTTACTGCCAATCAGTTTCCACTTTGCTGGTATCATCTTTTAAGGTCTCTTAAAGGGCCCTACACACCTTCTTTCAGCACATTCTTAAGTTATACATATATATAAAAAGCTCGCTATAAATCTGTAAGTCATCCTGGAAATGACTATAACGTACAAGAAAATAAATGTCTTTTAAAGACCTTTTCATCAGAGCTCTTAAATTCTGTGCCATTACTTCGTCGTCATGTAATGAGAGCATGCCAGGGGGTAACAAAACACCCTTTAAAGAAATGATTACAGTCACGCCTTGCAAGCTGCTGGATGGAGCCTTGCGTGTCCAGCTATATTGAGGATCATGCCAAGACCCCTCGGTGATTTAGTCTCTTCTCCAATTTTCCTTCTGGATGCAGTAACAGCCCAAGACAGGCCTTCCCTTCTGGAGAAGCTTCCCTAAGCTTAGGTGTCCCGTGATGTTTTCCACTGGTCTAGATATCGTGGAGACATTTGGGGAGGAAGCATGCCAAGTGATTTTAGAGCTTTGTAGGAATCTGATTGCAGAACTTAATTTGTTGTTTTATTTATTTATTTTTGAGATGGGAAGAAGGATAAGGGATAGAAGGAGAGAGGGTCAGCAGGAAAATGAAAACTCGATTTGTTTTAACTCTTGTTTCTTTTTGAAATCAAACAGTGTCATGTTAAATCAATCTCATTTAAATTTGATTTTTAAAATGAGGTATAGTTGATTTACAGTGTTTCAGGTGTACAGCAAAGTGACTCAGTTATACATAGGTATATAATCTTTTTCATATTCTTTTCCATTTTAGGTTATTGCAAGGTATTGAATATAGTTCCCTGTGCTATACAGTAGGTCCTTGTTGTTTATCTATTTTATAGACAGTAGTATGTATCTGTTAACCCCAAGCTCCCAATTTATTCCTCCTCCCCTTCCGCCTTTGGTAACCATGAGGTTGTTTTCTGTGTCTGTGAGACTCTTTCTGTTTTGTAAATGAGTTCATTTGTGTCATCTTTTTAGATTCCACATATAAGTGGTATATTTTATATTTGTCTTTCTCTTTCTGACTTAACTTCACTTAGTATGATAATCCAGGTCCTTAAATTTGAGTTTTGATTCCTTTTTTGGGGGGAGGTGCCTGGGAATTGTCCAAGTCAGGCTGGAGAGACCACCAAGTGTTTTCATTAACCAGAGACCTAATTGTGGTCATTTATTATAGTCGCTTATCTGATAGTAGCTTCATTATCTGTGATAGTTTTACAGGGACACAATCCACCAGGCATCCAATGAAGTATATAAACATGTTACCTTGTGACAGGGTGTCTGTTACTTACTGTCAACACTCACTGGCCCTCGTCACATATCTGCAGCTTATATGAAGTAACGATGAGTTTAATAAGGTCCAGTGAAAGCAGCAATGTAAACATGGCATCAGGAGTGTTTGCCTTGTCAGGCCTCTTAAACAAATAAAGGTGATGGAGAAGTACAAACAGAACTGGGTTGGAGCCTAATGAGATGGCCATCGGGTGGCTGAGGTACATTCCATTTTTGCTTCACTGCAGTCTAGATTATCATTACAAACAACGCATTTGTATTTACAATACATTAGAAAGGATGCCACCCAGAAAAATCTCTTCAACTGAAAACTCCCTCCAAATTCTGATTTGGGGACTTGGGTGAATTTGCTGACCACCTGGGAGCAAGAAGGTGCTGCACATGGGTACCAATTTTTCAGGATTATAATCTTCAGAAAATATCTAGTAAATCACTTGTTTTTGAAAGGCACTATGTTGGGCAGTAGACCAGCATTGCATATACAATTTGTTGGAAAAAATTTCATGTGTGATGGGCAGTAGGTCTCACATTGGTCCCACTGGAATAAAGCCATAAACCAAGCTGTTAATAGGTGGCAAAATGTGTGGCTTCACAAATCAGAATATTCGGAGTGACTTTTATACTGCCCCACTCCATAACTGTGACTGGACAGAAACGTGTGACTATTTGCATATCCTTACCACCTTACCTTAGAGGAGAATGATTGGTTCTCTTGCCCAAACAGGCAGAACTTTCCTTGTACCTTCGGTGGGAGGGGGCTCATGGTCTGGATGACATACAGGAAGATCAGCCTCCCCAATTCCCTCTCCCCTGGCTTCCTCCAAGTCTTCCATGGTTCCTCTAATAGGGATTCATTTCATTCTTCTGGGATTTAAGTATTTTTTCTCTTTGACTTTAAAATGTAAACAGCTCTGGAGAGTGAGCTTATTAACCCCTTATTGACAGAGTGGCTAGCATAAAAGAAGTCATTAGAAGACCTGGGTTCAATTCCCAACCTGACATCTCCTAGTTGGGTGAGACTGGAGAAAGTTCCTTCCCTTCGTTAAGTCTCGGTTTCTTCATTTGTGGAATGCGGATGATGCTACCTTTTTTCACAGTATCTGGGGGGTAAGAACTAGTACCAAACAGTGTGCTGTTATTATTAGCTCAGTATGTCATTATTAGCTCAATTATTAGCTCAAAAAAAAAAAACTGGATCTTGACAGAATGAGACACCAAGTTGGGAGTATATGATGGGAGAGGAGGAGTTCAGAGGAGAAAATCGGTCTAGGAAGGTTTCTCAAAACGTATTCTGTGGAACAGTGGGTCCTTCTGCCATTGTTAGATGTAGTTACAAAGGGGAGCTGTGGTCAGATGCAGTTGGGAAAGTGAGCTTAGATAAGCTTCTCTAATGTAGGATTTCTCAGAATCTTTAATAATGTGTCTTGTAAACATCTATGAGGGGAATTTAATATGTAAACCTTTAACTATGAGCTTTGTTTCTCTCTTTAATAATTTCTTAAGGCTATGTGTTCTTTAGCATTCCCAGTTAGAAATTCTGGCCTAGAGCATCAGGTTTTGTTTGGAAAATGTAGGGCCCAGTGGTCCTCTGTATCTTGGAGTCAAGAGGAAGATCCTGAATCTAAGGTAGCAGGGTGTAGAGTTGGGGTAGGATTGATACATGGTGGATGCCCAAAGTGAACAGAAGTGCCTAGGAAGGTGAGATCAGAGGGAATTGAAGGCAAACACTACCATCTTCAGAGTTATAATTAGGGCAGCTTAATGAGTTGGCTTGAATATTTGGAAACTGGTCAGCAAACCTGAGAAGCCACCCACAGGGCTATGTACTACCTCAGGAAAGAAATGCACTTGGCAAATCTTGGGTTAAGTAAGCTTCTTTATTGCAAGAGCTGTCAGTGATGTGCACTGTGAATCTGCAAGAGGGGCACCCAGGCCCATTCAGGCATAATCAGGTAAAAAGCAGAAGAGAACAGAGTGAAGGAGGCGGGAAGAGGAGAAAGACAGTGAGTAGAATCACCTGGGAATCACCGCCATCATTTCCCCTGATTGACCTCTCTGGTGGCACGCAAGCTCTGCCCTCTTCCTGCTCCAGACCAAGATGGGCACTGGCCTGGTTCTGTGCTGCTGCCAGGCACAGCCTCGAGACCCACAAAGTATGGGGTGGAGAGAAGGAAAGAGCTGTCACATGGCAAATGATCAGCTCTCCTAAACCTTGGCTTTGCCAGTGCCTGTAGTAGCTGCTTAATAAGTATTGGCTGAATTAAATGGAGTGTGCGTGGAACCTGAGAGGGATGGGCTTTTCTTCTCCATGGCCTTGGAGCACTGTCATTTTTAAAGTTATAGAGTTACACATGGAAGGAATATATATATGAAATATACCATATGTTTTTCTTTAAATGAGAAAAATGGAGCTATATAAGACAATACTTAGAATAATATTAATGATGAAGAACATGTTGCCTTGTTTTAGGAAAAGAGACATCCCAGAAGAGTTTGGTGCAACTCAAAGTCCATCTACCATTGTCCAGTGTTATGATGTTAATCCTTCCTCATCTTCATCTCTTTTTTTTTAAACAAAAGTTCACACTTTATTCAAATTGCACCTTTTCCACTAATGTGCCTTTTTCTAATGTTTCAGGGTTCAATCCAGGCTATGCTGCCATTTACTCATTTTGTCTTCTTACCCTCCTCCGATCTGTGATAATTTCTTACTATTCCTCTTTTACAAAAATCATTGTCTTTTTAAAAATTGAGGTAGGATTGATGTATAAAACATTGATTTAAGATGTACAACATAATGATTTCATATTTGCATATACTGCAAAATGACCACCCTGATAAGTCTAGTTAACATTTGTCACCATACATAATTAGAAATTTTTTCCTTGGGATGAGAACTTTTAATATTTGCTCTCTTAACAGCTTTCAAATATTCAATATAGTATTATTAACTATAATCACTATGCTGTACTTCACAACCCATGACTTATTTAATTTGTAATTGGAAGTTTGTACCTGTTGGCTCCCTTTACCCATTTTGCATACTGTATTTGTATTTTTCTGATTTGTTTCACTTAGCATAATATTGTCAAGGTCCATCTGTTTTGTGGCAAATGGCAAGATTCTCTCTTTTTTATGTCTGAGTTTTATTCCATTGCATATACATACCACACATTCTTCATCCATTCATCTATTGATGGACACTTAAGTTGTTTCTGTATCTTGAATATTGTAAATAATGCTGCAATGGACATGGGGCTTATCTTTATTTCTAATAAGTTTGCAATGGATAGGAATCCCAAACCCTTTCCACATAGATACTCCTGCTTCTTTTAACAATTCATAGAACATTTGTTATTTGAGGAATCCTTTGATAAAGTAACAGTTCCTTTTAAGTATAAATTTGAATATTGATAAGGGACTTATCCGCAGGGCCTGCCTGTGATCACAGGAGAGGGCAAAACTAGGGTTGAGGAATTCCAGTGAGCCAGAGGCCCCTGGGTCCTCATGTCTTGGAGTGTGCAATGTGTGTTAAGGATGACTGTATCAGAGATATAGGGTGTGGTAAAGGGCCTTCAGAAAGAGCACATTCTTTAGCAGTGCTATGGATGGAATTGTGTCCCCCTAAAATTCACGTGTTGAAGCTTTCACCCCCAGTGTGACTATAGTTGGAGAGAGGGTCTCTCTCTCTCTCTTTCTCTCACTGACATGGTAGGACACAGTCATCTCCAAGCCAGGAAGACAGCTCTCATTAGGAACTGAATTGACCAGCATCTTGATCTTGGACTTTCAGTCTCCAGAACTGTAAGGAGATACACTTCTGTTGTTCGGGCCACACGGTCTGTAGTATCTCACTAGCTGAGCTGACCAATGCAAGCAGCAAAGCTGCAGTTCGCTTCTAAAGTTTGCCATGAAATGATCAATTCCGAAGAACCACCTTAGCAATGCTGGTCTCCAATGACAACGAGTAGGACTGGGCTCCTTTTGCTTGGTCCTTCCCCAGATTCTTTCTCCTTCTTATTTAGGAAGACACAGCTCCATAGACACGCACCCTTTAGGGCTATAAAGAGGGGGCTTTCTCTCTCCATCTGCTTCCCCTCCTTCCCTCCTCCACTTCTCCACTCCTTACAGTTACATTCAACCACCGTATATTCAGCACAGAGGAGAGGATGTGTCAGGGACCTACTGATGCTTTGATGTGTGGGTAACAGGCCATGTTTTTAGAATGGTGATGAAAAAATATGTGCTGAGGTCCTTCCCCAACAAATGCTAAACTCCCCATACTTCCTAGCAGGAAGCCCAGACTGATGCCGTGGTTTAAAACTCAGGAAGGACATCTGTGATGAGAGAACTCAGAAAAGCAGATGTTTTTTTTGAGTTGCTGGGAGAATGAGTTGATTATTTGGCAAAAAAAAAAAGAAATGTAGTATATATTTATCTGTAGAAATACTCAGTTATTTTAAAAATTGGTTAATTCAGGGCAGTGAGTCTACACCATGCTCTGCTACTTGAATAAATCATTGAATGTGACATTTTCTTGAGATTCCTTGTCTCTTCTCAGGCCCTCCGTTCACCTCATGCTCGGTCAGGGAATAGTCTGGGTGACATTCAAAGAGCTGAATCATGAAAGACATGTCAAAATCCCCATCGTTTTTTAATTTTTTATGGTGGTGGACCCAAAGAAACCAAAGATGGCACTGAGTGTTTTCTGTTTCCTCATAAATGTCAGGTCAGGGTCCCAACGACTTATTTTTAACAGTGCGAACTGCTGACCTGTCTCCAGAGAATCACAGTTTTCATCGGAATTCTCAGGAGTGGGGCTGTGGGCAGCGGGAGGGGGAGAGGAAAACTTAATGTCCTTGGCAGCTGAGCTACCACACCAATTTAGATTTTGGAGGCCTTGGAGCAATTAGCAGATCACCATGCCATCTGCAGGCATTAATTGACTGGCCTGGCCACCTGCTGCTGGGGGTTGGCTTTATTTGACAAGTGGCAGATGAGAGGAGAAGGTCAGGTAGCAGTGAAGACAATTACTGGCCTCCCGTCTAATGAGTGTCTACAATATGCCAGCCACCGCACTCTTATTTTGTCTAAGCTTTGTACCAAGATTAGCATTATTATAGCATTATATAGCAATACAGTCATTTTTATCTTGCACATTTTCAGATGAGAAAACAGGCTGAAAAAGTGACAAGCCCAAGGCTATGTGGCTAAGAAGTAAAGCTGGACTGATTGCGTCAGTCTGCACATTTTCTGCTCTGCCAAATTGCCACCGTAAATAAGATGAATAGCCTGTACTTTAAGGAGGCTGCCAATTAATGGACATCCTGCTTTTCTTATTCTTCAGAGTTCGCAGACCTGATGGAGACAAGACACATTTTTATAAGTATAAGAATAAGAATATTTTATAGACAATAGAATTGTGAAGTTGCAGAGTATAAGGATACCAGCCCTGGCAGAGGTAACACGGATTAATAGGATTAATAAAAAACTCCTGCAAACCTAGGACAATACAATCTTGGGGTCTCGAGGACTAAAGGTGATGTGGGTACACCAACCAGGTTTAAATTCCATGAGGGCAGAGGCTTAATTTTATTCACTGCTGTAAAATGGTGTCAGACACATAGCAGATGTTCAAAAATTAATTATGAAATGAATGAATGCTATGTGGACATATCGAGATCTCCTGGCTGATTCTCCAGTCCCACCATAACATTTCATTTGCCTAAAGTACTATTAACTACCATGTACTGAATTAGTGCTCAGCCTTTCCCTGTTTGCGGTCCATTTAGAAAGACTAGAATATTTGGCTGCACCCTTGAAAGAATTAAGTGTTTTAAGGCAACACTCAACAAGCTAATAATAATTCATACACAATTACTACTCTAGGACAATAGAAAACTCGTAATGTTTGAATAACACCTACAGTTTCTGGACAATTCAGTTATTCACTATGCAAACATTCTTGGCTACACACATTTCTTCTCTGCTCATCTCTCATCACAGAGGCTAAAAATGTCAGACACTTGCTTTCCCAGACTCTTTTGCAGCTAGGGCTTGACCATGTAATTCAGTATTGGCAAATGGGATTTGAGGGACATGTGTCTCTAAAAAAAAAGAGACCCATGGGAAATTCTTTGCTGAACATTATCATGTCTACCTTTGATAACTGGAACTGTGGCAGCCATCCTGACTGCACGGGGATAGATGCTTAAAGATTACGTCAAAGGACTTAGGTTTGAAGCTGGAACAATGTAACTGAGCTTCTGGGTCAACCTTTGAACCACCTTCCTCTAGACTTTTTGTTACGCAAGATAACACTTCATTTTAGCTGTGTGTTACGCAATTAGCAGACAAAAGCATCCTTGAGCACTCCTGCTGTTTGAACAGAACTGCTTGTGGCCTAGTAGCACTTGCTTATACACTTATGAAATAAACTTCTTACCTTTCCTAGTAATAAGAGATTTTTCTGTGATGTAAGTTTGGCATTACCCTCTGCTCTGCACAGCACTGTCTCTCCACTCAGCTCAATGATTTAACCCAGGAACATAACTGTTGCAATACTTACACACGGTGTAGCAAACATTCCTTTTAAATGTTGTTCATGATTTGACGGGGTACCTGTGAAGTGCTCAGGGTGTATCAGTGTGTCATGGCTGACTGGCTGAGAACACAGCTGCATTGAAATGCTCTTCCTCAGTGTCTTCTCTTCCACAGACTGTATTTTCCCAGTGGGCTGTAAGATAATGTATTGATCATTACCTCCCCAGGGCTTAGCCAAGTACCCACTGTGTAACCGTAATAATGATTAAGATACATTGAGTGCTTATTTTGTGTTGGGCGCGGTTTAAATTATTTTGGAGGTATTAACTCATTTAACTTTAAAATATAAAAAGAGTAGGTGACTCTGGATGTGAACCAGGCAGGATGGTTCAGAGTCCATTATACCCCC